GCCTTGCTTGATTATGAATGTTGTGGCACTTTATAACACTTCATCATCGTATATTCCATAATTTTCAGTAGTGTAACAAGATAAATCAGTCTAAATTGTTTATTGTTGACCGATTTAAATAAAGAAAATTAATAGAATATTATCGCTAAGGAGGTGTTTGGTTGGATGGAAAATGTTTTCCTTGATTTTTTTTAAAAAATTAGATTTTCATTTGTTTGGTTGGATGTAAAAAATCTTTTCCTCAAGAATGAATGAAGAAAACATTTTCCTTCGCTTCCTATTGGTATTTTGTTTTCTATGAAAAACGTTTTTTAATAGAAAACAAGAAAGACAATTATGTCATCACCAACTTTTTTAATTGCCATTATTATTATTGTTGTGTAGGGATATAGTTGTCTTTATACTTATTATTCATTACAATTTCAAATCCAACCAAATACCTCACCAAATTTAAATTAGTCCATCAATAATAAGAGTATTAGATATTGTTGGCAAAAAAAATAGTAACTAAGTATTTTTATAATTCTTTATTAGTTGCATAAATGATAAAACATACATAAATTTTTTAATTTATGAAATATAATATTTTACGTTTAATATTATAACAATTTTCATAATAAATACTTTGGGGAAGGGGGTGGGGTTCAAGAATGGTAAAATGGATATATACTTTTTTTTTCTCGAGGAAACATGTATTTTTCAATTAAATAAAATCAATTTATTGAAGGAAATTTAAAACTTTCATCATTGAATTATAAAAAAATTACATTTTTGTCTTACAATTATAGCATTATCACTTTTTTTTTTTTTCTTTTCGTTACCACTTTTAGTCACTCAATTATCTAAGACGTGACTTTTATAGCCAAACGTATAACACCAATAAAACTCAAACATAAAAAATGTCACTTAACTAATAATTTTTTTCACCATCGGACACAGTGACTAATCTACTTGCTGATTTGTAGCCTTGTAGACACCTCTTTTAGGTGAGACAGCTGTCATAGATATTTAAGGCCACTTAACATGCAATTGAATATTTAAAAGTGACAATAAATATTTTTAAATGACAAAAGTATTATTTTCTTGTAATTTAAGGACGAAAAGTGTTACGCACCCTTCTATTTATTTATATTAAATTTTGTGACATAACCCGACTGACGATAATAAGTCAAAGACATTAAGCACTTGAGAGTTCCATTCATGATGTGTGGACATGAGAGATTTGCCTTGTCTATCCTCTTTTTTAACAAGGTAATTACTATTTTATCTTACTTAAAATAGTGGTTAAAAAGGAAATAACTACATCCCTACTAGTGCAGTACATGCATGTCAATCAATCTTATGTTATTTAAAAAAAAAAAAAAAACTTGTCAAAAGTGGTGACTGAATGACTAATTAAAGCATAATTTCCGTACTAAAAGATCACAAGTTTAATTCTTGTTAATATCCTTTCATCAAGCTCATCTCACAAGTGAGACTCGATCTTTGGTCATTCTTTTCAAACTTCATCTTTATGACCAATTGAGTTGCCCATGCAAACAAAATTTACCTTGTATACATCATTGAGTAGTTGTTGTGGGTTCATCAAAAAATACTACATTGACTCTCATTTCTTATTCTCAACTCACAAATTCTTCCTGTTGACACTTTTCCTTGGGTAACATGTGATGAAAATATCTTATTTTTGCTTGTTATAACATGAAGTAAAAGTAAAAAAGTATAATTTGATAGTACATGTAGTAGAATTTTGAGTTCATCTCATCCAAGTGAAAAAAAAAAAAAAAAAAACAATTTTTAATTTTTACAGCTTTAACTGCTAGTTTAATGATGATGAAAGTTAATAAGAAAGCAAAACCACTTTTTAAGAGGACCTAGCTTTGCTAGCTACCTTTCATATTAATACATTATTTCCTTTTCAATGATAAGATACAAAGTTTAACCACTAATCAATTCATTATCATGTCATTACATACACGAGCATCAATCAGTCACAAAGTAAATAAAATAACTTTTTTTTTTTTTTTTTTGCAAGTGAAAGTAAGGTCAATGTAAAAAAAAATATTGCAAGTCATAATTAAAGGTAATGCTATTGAATATACAAAACCCATTTTGTGATAATTTGAAGGGATAATTTCATTTGGACCCCTAAGGTTTAGGTCAATATCACTTTATACATCATTTCTTATTTTGGAAAATTAAAATTATGGCTTCTTGAAATTTTATTCTTTATTTTACTTTAGTCAATAGAACATATTCACCTTCTATTATAAGTTTCATATTTTATCTAAAAATAAAATATTCCATTGACAAAATAACACATAATTATTTATTTGTTCCTATGATGAAAGAACGACAACAAGAATAGTCCCCAAACCATTTAGATGAGAATCTAAAACTCTCTACTTGAGTTGTCCCTCACTTACATGTATAATTACCATTCAGTATATAACAAAGTTAGTATTTTTGTGTACGTGTCAGATAATTATACGTATTGTGAGTATCACCCACCGACTCTCGAATAGTTCTAAGACTGTGCAAGTGAGAATTTCTCTCATATCTATCCATGAATATCTTCTCAATAACCAATAGAGTGACGCTCTCAAAATACAAACAAATATTATCAAGTGTGTTAAGTATTGATTTAGTTTTTTACTATGATGATATTCATCAACTACGCTTAATCTTTTACTACCAATAGCACACAAATCCACCAATTGTTACCAATTTTATTTTATCCCTGCAAAATCTAAGGGCTAATGGATAAATTATTATCTTGTCAACAACAAAATCGTCAAAGCTAAAATTCGTCAATCAATAATTTTGACATGGTACCCAAGAATTATAACCCTTTATCAAAAAATAGGTTATAAAAAAAAGCATAAAAATTGTTTGAATCATCACCAGCTCATTCGAGTACTGTAAATTCGAGTTGTCCGATGTGAAGTGCGCATAAGACGACGTGTTGGGTCACTAAGAAATGGCGACTGCAATTAAGTGTTCAAACGTATCATATCGTCGCATATCTCTCTCTTTAGTTTCATAAACTCCAATGGTGAAAAGTGAAAAGTAATAATTCATGGGGTTTCGGGAGAGAGAGAGAGAGAGAGAGAAGGAATTCAATTCCATACTTGCATTCATATTCTCTGATCAAACCAGCATATATATGAAAATAATGTATCCAAGAATCTAAGTATATATATATAAGCTAGGTAGACCGGCCTAAGAGACAAAGTGAAAGCTGAGAATAAGGTTGTTTGTTTTACCATATGGTTGGACGACACGACAGCAGTTCGGAATGGAGAAAATGGAAAGAAAAGAAAGTGACGGTGCGAGAGAGATTGGTGGATTGAGGTGAAAGTTTTTGCAAGAAAAAGAAAGGAAAAAAATGTGGTTATGATGTATCCAATCCCAGATTGTACTGCGGGTACTGCTAATATACATGACAAGACTTCAAAATATATACTAGTCCATTATATTATATTATATTATATTAGAGAGATTGGACAGACTATATATATAATATAGAATTAATTTCACTTTTGGTCCCACGACTTTTGATGTTTTATCATTTTTGGTGCACAACTTTAAAATTTATTAATTTTGGTGCCTAACTTTGTTATTTTTATCAATTTTGGTCCTTTCGGTCAAATTAACAGCGAAATGTTGCTGGATTTTATATTTTTAGGGGTAAAATTGTCATCCCAAGGAAACATCTTCAATATCTAAACAAAATCACTGTAAAATCATATCTATAGGGGTTTGATCGATGAGAATAATGGGGAAGACGGACAGAAACCAGACAGATCTATGGGATTTATAGTTTCGACCATTGGCAAACTCTTCTTTTCCTCTTAATATGATTTTTCTTTTGTTTAAATATTGAAGATCTTTCCATGGTATGACGATTTTGCCCCTAAAATATAAAATCCAGAAATATTTTACCGTCAATTTGGCTGGAAGGACCAAAACTGATAAAAATAACAAAGTTAGGCACCAATATTGAAAAAATTTAAAGTTGTGCACCAAAAGTGATAAGAACTCAAAAGTCGTGGGACCAAAAGTGAAATTAATTCTATAATATATATTATTCTTCTTTCAATTCAATTGGTGGTGGATGAAGCCAAAACGACCCTTCAATTCAATTCGCTTATTAGCTTTGTCGAAGATGACCCAACCCTAAAGATTATAGAAATCTTTACGACTGCCACACTAAACCTCTCTTTTGGCCGACAAACTACTTTGCTTTTCTTTTCTAGTCTAATCGCTCCTCTATGCATGCCACTATCAATGGATCTCCACTCTTTCCTATCTAATTACCATTTCTCCCCGAGCATGCATGGCTCAACTCCCCCAACTTTTAAACTTTCCTGCTTCTTATAAAAAATTACCCTCAGTTATTTGGTTCAACAAATCAGAGGGTTAGAAGTCAAGTTTAAAGTACCTTCACTATCTGGTCGCACGGAGAGGTAGAAGGTCACCGATCAAATTCAGTAGACTGCTACACAAGTATAAAGAATATAGTTTAAATAAGGGTGTTGAACATATAGCTTTTAGTTGAGATGGAACAAATGCTTCAATTTGGTATCAGAGCCAAACCAAAGGTCGCGACTACGGTCCACGTGTTGCTTGGATTGATTGGGCAAGATAGAGGAAGAATCCAAATGTATTGACTGAACCAAAAGAAGTGAGGAAGAAATGGGATAAGCACGCAGAATTGAAGTCACAGAATAGATGCCACTGAGGAGGCACAATTTGCTGGAGTGTGTTGATGATAACGATGGCAGGCAGATTGTTTCTGATTTTATTCCATATACCAAAGTGGAAAACCACAAAATCAAAAGATAATGGAACACTAATCAGTATTGAATTGAATTTCTTGTCATACACACCTGTACCTGAAATGACCCTTTTTTCTTTACCTCCATCCATATACATATTTTGGTCCGTACTATATGCTTAGGCCCATCATAGTTGTAGACTGGCCCTTAAGTAATCACGACTAGAACAGAAAGCTATTGCTTTTCTTTAATCTGTTCGGAAGTGGTTTATTTTTTACATACAGTTTGGCAAGTCTAAAAAAATTTCCAAAGTAAAAACTAATCCATCACATATCCCAGACTTAAGGGTTGCGTGCTTTACAAACAAACTGAAAATCTTCACAGCTGTCAAGGGTAGTTTTTACGTTTAGTTGTAAACAATGTAAGCAGAAGTAGAAATATACGCGAGTAATATATAGATCATTTGAGCGCACCAATTGCAAAAAATGAAACAAGTGCCTCCCTCGGCTTTCCATGGATGATGATAATTACTTCTGAATGATGACGGAATTTGTCAGTCCAGCCTCCTCGATGGTTTGGGAGTTGTCGCTTAGGACTTTGGGAGGGAAGCCTGTTTGCAATTCGTAAGCCCCGCTGCCACCAGGCCTAGATGCATTGATGAAAGAGCGGATGTCACCGACAGTGTGGTGGTTATTGAAGTGTGCCACCATGCGGGTCCCATCAGCCAACCTAAGCTGAACTGAAGTTGACGGCAATGATTTGTCAACTACTATGCCCATTGAAGGTGTTGGAGCAGTGTTGAGGGGAGTGGCTGCAGTTGGCTCAGAAGTTGCTGGGTTTGAGCTGCCACCCAGAGTTCTTCCAACACCCTGAAATGGAACATTGCGTGTCTCTGGTTCCTGGAAGTAGATTAAAAGAGCAAATGTCATAATAATGTTTAAGAATCAAGCAAATGATCAAAGAAGACAGATTATCTTCTTTTTTTTTTTTAATAAATTTTCCAGGGTTGGGGGGGTAGTTTGGAAGGTGTGTGGCAAAGTTTGCAAGAGCAAACAAAAAGGATTTACTTGCATGCATGCAAATTAACAAGAAATAACTATGCTACTCCAGTGCTAATGCATTTTTCTCACCAGAATACAAGTTGGAATCATGGATATTCACACACAATACTGTAGGAAGTCAATGGCAATAAAAAAAAAATGAATGCTAATCTCCACAAGCCTTTCCTAATTCAATAAAAGAAAAAGATGTTGACAGAACTTTAAACAGAAGAAAGGAATAGTTTTCACTGAGTTACTCACTGGACAATTCTCATCCCTCCTTATGAGATTGACATGAACGGAGGTCCTCCTATCTGCAGGCTCCAGCTCTTTAGGACACTCAGATTTTTTAATGCTCTGCAAATGAAGTCATCAGTATGTTATGCAAAACTCATCCACAACAATAGTGTTACTAACTTACTATCAATGACTTGATGAATTAAACTCTTAGTTTATCAATGTGGCATTGAAATGCAAAATAGGACTTGCAGTTCAAGTGCATGTCACAGAATTAAAGTATTGAGCTTGTTATACCGTAAGGGTAAATCCAGAGTTGGAGGAAAAATAACACAAGATCAAATCATAAATGCAAAATTACAAGTAAAAATTGCTCATATGTGAAACAGATATTGACACTTGGTAATCTTAATCCCAATGCAAAATTAGTGTATATAACACTCTCGCCAGACTAACAGAGAAGTTTAGGTTTTGTTGTTCAGTAGGCTGAACTGTTACTTTTATTGCTTAACACTGTTACCTCCAGGAAAGGAGCATTTTCAGGATCATCCAATCTCCTCAAAGGACCATCATTAATACTGAAACCATTTCTCCAAAACACAATATTGTGCACAACAGACTCAGGTGGTTGTGGGGCAGTAGGTGCAACTGTTTCCCCTGTCAGTGTCCTCCCAACTCCAGTGAAGCTTGTTGAGCTAGAAGAAGGTCGGAGGTTTTCCAGAGGACCTTGCACGGCACCTAGCTGCCTAGCTTGATCAAAAATTGCATCCACATCATTAGGCTTTGAAGGATCTTGCACAAGCATTCCACTGAAACAAGTTGCCACTAAGATCAGCAAACAGTAGTAGGACATGAACCTAGCTAATGTTAGGTATTTTCTCCCTCATATTTTGTAATGAAATGAATCACTCGACATGCTTTGAGCCCAGGAAAAGCTGTCAACATATAGCTGATACTCCTTATATGATAGGTTCCAAAAAAAAAAAAAAAAAAAAACTTTAGCAACCTCTAATACATGAACTTGATATTCTATATTTTATTTTATTTTTTTAATTTATAAATAATTCAATCATACATCCTGGCAGTCTTTGTCAGGCATCAAAGACCTTAAGCCTATACAGTTAGAAGACAGCAAAAAGGAAGCATTAAGTTGGTGCTTGGAATCTTGGAATAAAATCAAGAGGTGTATTTCATTTATGTGGGAATGTAGCACAAGGATGATTTTTTTTTTTTTTTTAAATAATAAATTCTGTAAGCCATATACTCCCTCATAGTAGAACACATTGCAAATTAATTTGAAGATCCAAGTTAGTACAAATACAAATAGCAATAGAAACAAAAATTTTAAATTGAAATCCTCGTATAGTTGCATAAATTGATAGGGTAAAATATGTTAGTGTAAATGAGGAAATTTTGTATGAAGTAATATTAAACAGATGATAAATCACATTTTTAACTGCATTTCATGGCTCATTTTTTTCTTATTGGTTATTAAAGAAATTGCAAGAACGCAAAGAAATGACATCTTTTCCAGTGACAATTTATTCCTACTCAAACATTTTAGGAAATATCATACGGAGCCCAAGTTAGAAAATATAGCGACAAGGAAATTATCAGAACCCATACTATAATCCTGGTAAACAGCACGATTAAACACAGTTTCACAGAGGAAACACAAAAATGGTCACATTTCCACAATTACACCAATTAGACACACGGTAACAATCAAGATCAATAGCTAAAATTGCAATGAAATAGAAAAAAGAAAAGGCTAGGGTTGGAGGAAAATTTGCCTCTTTTCACCGCCAGTGTAGTATTCTTGGGGGGCATCGGAGTCGCTATCGGAGTCGTGGCCGGAGGGGCGATTCAAATCGGAGAGAGTTCGTATGCCGCCGATCCGGCCGCTGCTGCTGGAGGACTTGGAGGGTTTCTTATCGCGCGAAGACATATTACTCTGTAACTCCACCTACACCTTCTAGAGAGATAGGGGGAGAGGAGAGAGAGAGAGAGAGAGAGAGAGAGAGAGAGAAATGATTACTTTGAAAATCCTTCCCTTTTATATATTGAAAATTTATGCTCCGCCTCGTAGTAATTTTTTTCTCTCTCTGCGGGCCCATCCGAAATTTCATACGGAGTCATTATTTACTTTTTGTCTTTTGGTGTTTTTAACTCGACGAAAGTATAGTTAAATAAATTATGATTACTCAAACATTATTATTGCAAAATAATGATTGGAATTGAATTTAAATATTATTGTTCTTTCTTTTGAAAGTTAATAGTAATTCAAAAAATATTTTTTGAAAGTTTAATCCTTTCATTTATATATATAAATAATAAAAGTGGGCGGTGGTCCAGTACAATTATTTTCATTTCATTTTGGGGAAAAGATTTGTTAGTTACTGTAGCCGGCGACTCCTGGCATTATCAGAGAATCTGCCTACCAAACATCACGAGCAGAGCTGAAATTTGTTGGATTCGGCTTACCCGACCGAACATAACGCCGCTAATATTGGCTTTTTCTGACGGATTATGCTGTCACTGGTTAGTGTAGGAAATCTGGATTATGAATTAGTATGAACACTGAGGTAGTGCACCCTAGTCTGGAATTTAATATACACATATCTAGAAAAAGAAAAGTTATACAAAATCAAACTGAGGCTTCCTCCTCAAGACTGATTCTTGCTTCTGCTGTGCTAAATCAAGTAAAGCTCTTTGCCGGTTCATGGCGCTCTCACTGTATTCTTCAAGGGGCGGAAGTGGACAGTGCTCGTCTCTTTGAGTTTGACCTCTAATGATCTGGGAACCAATGCAATGGAATTTGGGTAGTTGAATATCATATCATATATGGAATGAGTTGATGAAATTTGCAATTATTATAGATACCTTTGATGCCCAGTGCCTCTCTGCTTGCTGGCATACATCCCTGATATCCCTCCCAGAAAATCTGGTGTTTAAAAGAACAAATTTTGTATATTCCACATCATGATAATCGTCAACTAGAGCAAAGAAAAACGACAGCAAGAAACAAATATGCTATATTCACCCTGCCCTTGTACACTTCAGTTGAGGGCATATTTGTTCCTCAGGTTATTCCTACGTTTGAGTGTGCAACAAGTGAGGGTGTATTTTCTTAGTTCTTACCCTTCAGTGGCTTTTGCAAATTCAGATAATTCTGATTCTGTCAAGTGCTTTGCATACTGTGCTCCTATTTCCTTACGAGTCTGCTGATCAGGTAGGGGGAAGACAATCATGGCATCAAATCGACTGGATCAAACAAAGAGAACCTGTAATTAGGAAGAGTTGTACGGCTAGGATATAAATGATTGTGTTTATCAAGATACCTAATCAGAGCAGGATCAAGATCTTGTTTCCTATTCGTTGCAGCAACAACCACAACTTTCTTCTCCTGCTCAAACCCATCTATCTGCACATCAAGTAAACCTTAGTAAAGAAGATACTAAGGAAACACCACTAAGCATCCACAATACAACAAATGAATCATGATTAAGGTAACTACAGTAAATGGTCTTTCTTCAAAAGTTCATATGATGGAATTTATAATAGCACCTGTCGTAATAACACTGATAGAATTCGACGTGTTGCCTCATGAGTTTCACCATCACGAGCAGTAGCAAAAGAATCGACCTTCATTTTAAACAAAGGAAATGAAAAATCATACCAGGAAATTAAAATGCTAATCACAAGAAGAATGATTAATATCGAAGCCTTGAACAGAATAATTGTTCAAAATTTGTTCTGCATCCTTGCAAGTTACAATTTTATTTTGAAAAAAATTACCTCATCTAGGAATACAATTGCACCATTTGGGAGATCATTTGCCAGAGAAAACACCTTTCCCAACAAACGTTCACTTTCACCGTAATATTTTGACATTATGACCTCCAAGGGAACATACAACAATGGAACACCCTGCCAGATAACAAGACAAGCTGATCATTTTAATTAATAGGGGCACAAAAAAAAAAAAGAATAACATTTTGGGTGCCCTGTTACTTCTCCACAACCCCACTAGATATGCTAATGATAGAATGATAGCCATTGGCTCCAGAAAGTTTCTATAATATCTACCCTCTGATTCTCTCACAATCTCATATCTCCCTCTGTTTGTGTGTCAGAGCAGTTATTACTGGATGCCACACAAAATCTCACTCTCATAGTCTCATTTATTTTCTTCAGCGGGTTCATGGAAGGGGGGGGGGGGGGGGGGGGGGTGTTGGTGTTAGAGAGGCACAACAAATAGCATACCGCTTGATGAGCAATGACGCGAGCACAAGATGTCTTCCCAGTACCTAAAACCAAAGCAAAGGTGTGATATAAGTGCTGAACAAGTGGACTTCGGTATCACTAAAATGGCACACAACATGATTGGAGATGAACAAAACACAGTAATCATGTTACATCTTTCAAGTTTCATACTTCTCCATTTTACAGGTTTCAAGAGATTGTTTCTGATTCCAATCTTAAACAAGGATCACGTATTTAAACTAGGCACTATGCATCTGCGACCACATGCACCAATCAGAGCAATAGCACACAAGGTAGATCTCATACCTGGTGGACCTTCAAATAAGACTGCCCGAGGCCTATTTGTCTCAAACTTGCATCTTGTCCCACGAGCAATATCATCATATACCTCAGGACTCTGTAGAGCCAGCAATATTGTATCTTCTATCTCCCTGAAATGCAAGTCAAAATAGCTTGGTAAGCGAAACATGTCTAGAGGATACTATAGCAATAGGCAAGTAGTGCCACTGGAACAGACAGCACTAGGATGCTAACAATAGGAGCTTTTAAAGATAAGAGAAACAAAATGAATTAAATCCTTCTATTTTTCAGTAAGGCATCCACTTTATATGAAATATAAACAAATACATAGAAAATCTGGCCTTTTCTCATCTTTATATCCTTTGAAGTGAATGATTTTATTTAACACCATTGTGAAGTCACTTTCAACTTCATGAGGAAAATAAAGATGATGAAAACCCCATTATTGAGTCTAAGTTTTGTGGACAGTGCTCCATACTCTTTAAACAAAACACTGAAACATGTACTACTATATTACCGCTTTTGATGGCTATATCCAGCAATATTTTCCCATGAAATTTCAGCCTTTCCAATATCAGTGTTTGACTCATTAATTCCAAAAATTTTGACTCCCATAGCTTCCAGGCTAGAAACTGTCTTATTTGGAGAAGGAACACGAGCAGCATCTCCCCTTGGTTTAGTTTCCTCAGTTCTTTGTTGTCCTGCTAACTGTAATATAGATACTAAAGTATCAAGCTCTTCATCTGTAAAGCTGCCTGGCTTCATGAACTCAATTTCCTAAATAAAAGCAAATCATAGTAAAAAACAGCTGCTATGAGTTATCTGCAAACTAGAGGAAGCTTAAAAATTCAAGGGAATAATATCATAGATAATCATGTAATCAACTGCACAGGGTGGAAACTAACAGCTCTGTCTGCACTAATGACTGGACGAAAAAAGAGAATGCATAGATCTTCTTTAGCATTTGTATCCTTTCCTTTCCCTTCATTTCCAACAGTTTCACTTTGTTTCTTTGGACGGCTAAGCATCAGTTGCCAGGCAATCCCACTGCAAAAGATGAAAATAACTGTAAAAGTTGAGAAAAACCAAATTGATGTTTAATAATATTGTTTGAAAATGGCTATGCCTAACAAAATAAAGGTCCCTCCCAGCTTCTATAGTAGAATAAGCAAAGACTAAAAGCTCAATGATGACAGAATAGAGAAAGCAATTATCACAAGAAAACAGTGTTTTAATAAACCTGTCCCAAGCTCGCAGTATCATATCTGACCCAGAACCATTGTCTTCAAGTTTAAGACCAAGACGTGAAACAAGTTTTGTGATAAGAACTGGTATTTCACAGGTTGGAGGAACTTGGAACTTGATTGCAACCTGCTGACCAAGAAATTAGCTTAAATGCATGCTCAAATGAATTACACACACTAGTCAGTAAGTGCAAAGTTACAAAATTCCAATGAGTAAGCCAAACTTGGTCCATTTTTATCCCTCCATGAATAATTTTCAAGGGGAGCAAGTCAGGAGAAAACCTTTTGACCCTTAACCGCAACAGTATAACGAGGGTAAGAACCAATTAGCATTCCTTTGGTCTTAATCAACTCCCCAAGGCGATTCTTTTCTTTCATAGCAAGTTCCTCCAGGAAACTGTGGTTTGGTGTTGGAGGGGATCCAGATGGTAAAGCAGTTCCACTACTAGTCTGCAATGTATAAATTTCATTAGAAACAGAATTTATTCCAAATACATAATGGACATAAAAACGAATTCAGATAAACATTAACCAAAGGAATCCAGTTATAAGCTGTAATAAAGGAATTGAGTGCAAGTACTAGATTTAGTAATACTCACTACGGCACTAACATAAACTGAAAATTTATGTAGTTAATGAACAGCAAACAGATTAGTGATAAGCAGCAATCTTTATGCGAACAGACCTCATCAGCATCCGCAGCTGCTACATCTAGCAACCCAACTCCAAGCAATCCAGCTAAGACGGCTGGAACCATAAATCCAGGAATTGATCTTGAATGTGGACCTTGGTGTGCAGAGATGTGTAACTGATGCACCAATGGTCCTGCAAAATACGAGTTCACGCATGCAATCTGTTATGAAAAAACTAAGCAAACTTTGCCTGACTATTTATTACTTTCCCCGAAACTAAGCAAGGGAATGTAAATAAACCCAATTGGGAGATTAAAATGGTTAAGAAGTGCAGCAGTAAATCATAGCAAGATTTCACTAGATATAAACTATGATTGAAGAATTAACCATTAGAAGCAAAAATAGAAATCAATCCAATAATTCACCAAAAGAGACTTTCTGTTTTTAATTTTTTTCCAAATAAATTGGACTTGGATACAAGTATATAGTTTTAGATGACATATGCCATGCTTGCCATATCAGTGTTGCTGACATTCAATTGCCAACTTTTCTTTGAGAGAATAAAGAAACAAAGCTCTAGCTGAAGTTGATTTATGTGTCTCCACATCAATAGCCTTGCCTCACTCCAGCACTAAAATAAACTCCCAAATTGACTTGGTGATTAATTGAAACGCATTATTTCACCAGCATTGCCAATTGACTCGACGACCGATTTAAAACTCAACATCTTAGAGGACCAAAAGCAGTAGATGAAATTACAGCTCAAACATGAAAATTTGCCTGAAATGGACTTTTATACATCATGTCAAACTCGACCAAAACTTGAACCGATAACCAGACATTGAAAATTTAAGTTATCAGCTCAATGATGAACGGAAATTAGGAATAATCTCAGAAGACTAAACGCAGTAGTTAGTAAGCACAGTTCATCAGTTACAATTATGCTCATATACATAGAGAGAAAGAGAGAGAGAGAGAGAGAGAGAGCATACGATTGGGGAGAGTGGGAGGAAGGTGAGTAGAGGAGGAGGCTAGGGTTTTGAGAGAGGCGATCGCACGGCTGCAGCGAAGCATTCTGGCGAGAGACGCCATTGAAGCCACAGTGGAGTGAGGAGTCGTCGCGCTGGTTTCAAGTCAGTCTTCTCTCAGTTTTCTATTCCCGTACCTGTGGAAGGAAGTTCTGTTTTGTTGCACCGTATCTTTCGTGTCGTGCAAGTCTGCATCCGGTCTCCCCGTCTTCACTTGATTAAGATATAAATATGCAAAATTGTTACTTTATTCTAAATAAATATATGTCAAAAACATTAATAAAATAATTATATTATGACAATACTTTTTTATTATTTATATTCTATGGTTCTCTCTGTATATCTGGATTTTTCCCTTCGTTAACTACTAAAGCTTTTGTGTTTAATTAATAATTATCAATTTTATACGCAGTAATTGATTAAATTTAATATATGTATTATAATTCTCAAGAAGAAAAATAAAATCTTTTTTTAATATAATAATAATAATAAGTTTATAAGTCCGAAGTCACTAATAAATATAAATGAAATAGAAGTGAACTCACACCCTTTTAGCTTTAAATCAAATTCCAATAACTCCGTAATTGTTATCATTTTTAATTGTTTCCAAACCTTGCTTTCACATTTCAAAACACATGCCAATTATATCGTTTTTCTTGTTAATTCTGATTTTAAAAATATACACTACTGTTCCGCACTACTACTACTACTACTTCCGCACTTCCACTCAAACAAATCATCCGACAATTGAACAATAGGCACAGTAAAATACCAATTCGCTAATGGCTCAAAATTGATTGTTCACATTCGAAAAGTATGAAACTAGTGCTTAAAAGTACAAGCCAATCACAGGAAAGAAAATAATTGCGTCTCTACATGGAATAGTCCTTTAAAATAGAGTGATTTACTACTTTCTCTGTTCACTTAGGATTAAGCCCCGAGCTCCAAAAGCAATGTGTGATTTACTTGATCAGAAACTGGACCAACAAATTGAATTGGACCTGCAATGCACAAAGGGAAGAGTTTGAAAATTCCTGAACCTCAATTCAATTCCTTTCCTTGAAGAGTTTGAATTACAAGTGTGTGATGCACTGTGCCAAATTGCACTTGAGAGGAATAAATAGTTGCTGGTACATCTTTACATAATACCTCTCTCATGCCAATGAGATGATTTTTGGTCAATTTATTTTTAAAAAAAAAAACAGAGCAGTGATGCGATGAAAACATACCAGGATTCAAGTAGCGGTTCTTTAGGGCCCATTCTTCACGCATTGATGCAAATTTCTTGAATGGAGCACCTACAAATTTATTTTCCAAATAAAAGTGAGTCATATACATGATTGTTTTAAGTGAGAACAAACAGTTCTATTACAAAAAGCACGCAAATAAGTCTCAGTCTTATATGAGTTTTTAAAGAGAAGTTTACCGTCAAGCTCCACCATTGCTTTCTTTATCACAGGCTTGAATTTACCTGCAAATTTAAATCAGTTTCCAATAGTGAGTGAAAGATAAGCAGAGCACAGTTCCAGTAAGGAGCTCCATCAGAAAATCAGTAATGAATTCTTGGACAATCTTCCTTTGAATGAAACTGACTGATGAGGAAGTAATGAGAATTTTACCATGTCTTCTCTCAACATCCATCAATGAAGTCAGAGCAGTTCCGCCCACAGTCCAATCTGAAACTGGAGCAGCCAAGTTTCCAACCTGGAGATGTCATCAAAGTTCGAAGAAGCATCAGACAATTGCTGACCTATGGAACTCAGTGAAAAGATTGACTTGTTGACTCAAAACAAACAACAGAAAAGTAGCAGCAAGAGAAGCACAAACCGATGATATCAATCCTGTCTTCCCACTTTGAAGTAGTGCCCCAGCACCATAGCCCAAGGCATAACAGTATGTGGCATCAAAATTTGATGGCAAGCCACACCTTCCTTCATAACTGAGGTTAAATCATATAATCAAGGCATAGACAATGTTAGGCATATCAAATGATTTTAATATGGAAAATAAAGCTTGAGTTGAAATAAACATATGGAGATGAAACTATGAAAAGTACCCGAAAAAGTGGGACTGCCCCTTGAATTGACCATTATATGAACCACTCTGCCTTCTCAACTCCAACTCTGTTTCAACCATTTGAATAAGCATTTTTTCAGTTTCAATCTTGGCAACCTGCAGAAAGGGACCTCATCATTGTAACCAAATTTTCATGTGGATCCACGGATTTAAGAATAATGGAGGCATAATGCATTTAAACACCTGCACATTGCCATGTGGATCTCTCTCAAGCAGTAATTGATCCTGAATAGCTTGAGGCAACAACTCAAAAAGCTGCAGACATTGTGGGGTCAGTTTCCTTTTCCAAACACCAGCATCATCTACAACACCATGAGCCAAAATTTCATTCAATTCTGCAATGAGCTGCTGGACCTGCAAACAGGAAATAGCACATCTGAATGAGAAAACTCATCCTGCATCATCTAAAGCCTGAAGGGGAATATACTTTATTTAAGAGCATAATAAGTAGTAGTCCAGTATATGGAATTATGGAATTGCAAAGTATGGGATATACCTCAGGAATGAAATCTATAAGCCCTTCTGGTATGAGTATGACACCATAATTGTATCCCAGCTCTGCACGTTTGCAGATCACATCAGCAATGTAGTCAGTAACATTTTTCAGAGTATCTTTCTTTGCAAAAACCTGCAGGCAAAGATGAAAGTTATAAAGCAAATAGTTAATACTCTTTCAGTCTCATAAAAAGACAAAATATAAAGTTAAATTTGAACAAAACTGACTTCCAAATAGAATTATGAATTTCTCTAATACCATGTCCATAGTCAAAGGAAAGACAATCTGAATGAAATGACAAACGATTTGTAAATGGTATAATGTATTCTGAATGAATATCAGCAGGTTTACCCTCTCCTTTTCGGCTATATAAAAGTAATTTATGATTAAAAAATATAATAATTATATCTTGGGATAGTTTACGACTCTTGGTTCACTATCTATCTTCGCTTTCTTCAATTTAACGTTGCTTTGAAGAATGTAAATTTCAACTATAGTCTATAGATCAATCAATAATCTCCAACTTCTCATGCTTTAAGAGTTCTTGCAGGGTGTAATTCAGCATATGGAAATGGCAAGCAACACTTACAAAGTACAATAACCTGCCCATAGGAACTTGACCAATTCTAAGAAAATATGCAGCTGGAACAAAGGAATCAGATCAAAGAGTAATATAATGTGAATACCTCTTCTCCAATCAGAGTGACGTTTGGATGTGTTTGCAAGGCACACTCTAAAGTAATGTGGGAAGCAGCACGCCCCATAAGCCGTACAACTGCATATAACTAAATATTAACATGATATACGAGATTCAGGTATTGTGGAGTTGTGGACTCTTGCAGTGGTGAGAGAGAGTCTCATTCTCACGAATCACGATATGTTCCTCAGATAAACTTTTCTAGAATATGGAAAGTCATACATGGGCGCAGAAGATTAGGAACCAGTCAGAACCAAAGAGCAATTAGGTTACTCTACTCACAGTGATAGTATTTCCCTGTTGAGCGAGCATCTATCATGACATTTCCAATCATTTCAGCATATATCTACAGACAAACACAGGTTTAAACAACATTATAAATAATTACACTAGCATGTGACGCTCTAGACAATAAGAATTTGAGAAAATACAATTGTGTGCTTATTAAAGCTTTAAAAAAAGAACCCTAGAAATATTATTCAGTAAAAATATATTGGCAAAATTTCTGAAAATCTTAAAATGTCCAGCATAAAAAATGTTGTCAAGTGTATACAAGGTTAGTTGGGGCAGTAATGCATTACTAGCAAACCAGAAAACAAAAATAACACTATAGAGTACAACTCAGCCAATGATCCCGGAATTTCCTGAAAGTTTGGTATAGTAACTTCAAGATTCCTTAACAGAAAAGTCTGAATCAGTAAGTATATATAAACATAATCATGAATAACAAATAAGTAACTACATAATCATGAATAACAGATAAGTAACTCGTAAAACTATTATCACGGCAAATTTTACTAAGGGTGGCACTGATTAAGTGTCACAAAAAGAGGGGAGAAAACCATAGCTACATTAGGATCCCAAAAAATATAAAAGCATCAGAGCACCCTATTTTCCTCTTTTTGATATTGAATCATCTTCCGCCTTTATAAAGAATGCAAAATGTAAAAACTGATATTGTAGCCATAATTACCTTGCATGCTGTGTCAAACCCAAAACTTGTGGGAACCTCTTTGCATTTTAAATCACCATCGATGGTTTTTGGACATCCAATCACACGAGTTTTCAAATTCTTACTCCTGATAATTTTGCATTAAATTTCATAAGTAACTAAAATCATTTGATTGTTTACATGTCCACAAAACTACAACTCAAAAAGATCTCTTCCAGTAAAAATTTCTTTTACTTAGCAAGATACCTAAAGTTTTCAGCAAGAAGACAGGCATTAGTATTTGAATCATCTCCACCAATCACTACAAGCCCATCCAAATCAAGCTTTTTTGCTGTTTCTTCAGCTTGCTTAAACTGATAAGTGGAAAGTTTAGTTAGTCATGGCCCCAACATGCTTATCCCAAAATGAAACACAAATAACCTATGAAAATTCAAACAAAATCTCAAAATACCTGATCTGGAGTCTCAATCTTGTCCCTCCCACTGCAAATCATATCAAAGCCACCCTGGGAGAAGATTATCATTGTCACATACATTCCACATTAGTTTGAAGCCAGTAATACAATGGTTAACAATAATAAGTAGGTGAACATTTTTATGTGCCTTAATTAACAGGGAAAGAAAGATTTCACATCGAATACTAATGAGCACAATGACTTCATTTTCAGTCAGAAGTAGTTACTTTACAATGACTTCATCGTAAAGTAACTACTTTCACCCTTTCAGTCAGAAGTTGTTCATTTTACTTAATTACAAGTATCAGTAACACAGCATGAAGGATAAAAAAATTAATGAATGAACACTGAAGTTCTTAAGTAGTTACATTAGGATCAAGATGATAAAACTTTACCTGATTTCTGTATGGGTAGATATATTCTGGTGTGAGTATCACATACTTGCACTTCATGATCCCAGCTGGTCCACCCCTGAACCCATACAATGTGCTTCCTTTGCAATGCTCCTGCAAATAATCTGTGACCAAAATGCACATAGCAATCACAACTACAGAAATAATAA